GGGTGTCGAACCCTGGGGGAGGCTCCCGTTCGAGCGGGGACACCCCGTCCGACAACGCGCACCAATAGCCACCTCCGTCCCCACTATGGGTACTAGTGTGGGCGTTGTTCGCTCGACAGCACAATTCTTGCACTTAGGAGCTCTGACTTCTCTCACTAAGGGAATCGGTCAGCCCCGCCGATGCCCCGCCGCGTCCCCGCCCCCGGCGGCCTCATGGCCGCATCGCTGCCGTCCATTTGGGGGATCCGCCCGTCCCGTGGCCGCCTCGCAACCGCCTCGTTGCCGCCCACTTGGGGGGCCCGCCGCGGTTTCGCCGCGTCGCCGCCCGAGGCCGCCTCATGGCCGCCTCGTGGCCGCCTCGTTGCCGCCTACTTGTATAGGGTCCGCCGCGGTTTCGCTGCATCGCCGTCCGAGGCCGCCTCATGGCAGCCGCTTTGCCGCCCGTTTGGGGGGTCCGCCGAGGTTTCGCCGCCTCGCCGCCGGTGGCCGCCTCGTCGCCGCCCACTTGAGGATTTCGCTGAGATTCCGTTGGCAGCCACTGGCTTATACCTCACAGCGTGCCCCACAGATCTTCCAACACACAGCGTGCACCACACAAATTACACATTTAGAATGCAAAGACGTCCTGCGTGGGGTTCCACACTGGCCAACATTTGTGCATTTCGGAAATATGTCGAACTGCTGTTATCACAATTTGGATCCTGTTGGACACCCTCAGAACTCAGTGCCCGATTTTCGTGTCCCTCGAAGAGTCCTTATGGTGTCTCTGGGCATCCTTCGGGGCCTGTAGACAAGACAGGTCCGTAAGACTCTCCGAAATCGGGAACAATTCCTTCGGATTCCAACGAAAACCGTTATGATTCTCAAAAATTAGATCCGTTCCCGTCAAGAATCCTAAAGGGAACGTTGCGATTCCAGACTCGCAACGGAATCCGGTGATTACCATCATGATCTCCAATACAATGCTGGAGCTCCAAAGCCAAATGGGGACCCTGAAGACCCATTCGGATTCTTGGGCGAGGCGCTTGGAATCGCTAGGGAAGTTTGGATTTTAACAGACTGCTTTGATTGGCGGTGACCCGAGACGCCTTCTCGCAAACGAGAAGAAGGCGTCCTTGAGATGCCCCACGGCACCTGGAGGCATAGAAGAGATGCCTCAGAGCCTAGTTGAGTCACGCTGGAGGCAACGTTTGGCCAACCTGCGCCATCTTTGAGGTCATCTTGACTTTCCTTCCTGGGACCATCGTGGACTTTCCTTGTGCCATCATCTATCTAAGCTCGAGCCCCTCGCGAGACGCTCCGTACAGACCCCTGAGAGTGTCTGGGGAAGAAAGGACTGCCTCGAAGGGCTGATGCCTCCAGAGGGCTGCCGCCCTTAAGTCCCTGCCGTGGTCGCCGTCTAAGGCTTCTAAGGCCATCGCACAACAGCCCAACTTGCACTCGCGCGTGCACAAGACCGCGGTGCTTTGGCAGGCATCAGCGTGCGCGTGTTGGCAACACACATGCACGTGGTGGCGTGCAAGGGCCCTCTGAAGTGCAGGGACAACGTGTACACAGGCTCTGAATGCGATGGCGCTAGTTCAAGTTGTTGGTCTACCCAGATGAGCGCGCGAAGCTGTTCAGGCCTGTGCGTGTGTGCGCGCGTGCATGTGGTGATGTACGCAAGCCTGTAGTTTAGAGGGGCCACATGGTGTACGCAGGCCCAGGCGTGCGTCCGCGGTTGCGCAGGCCTGTGCGTGTGTGCGCACGCCCCTGTGGTGGCGTATTCGAGCTTGCTGCGTACGTGCGTGTCTGTATGTGACAGAAATGCGTCTGCACAGGCGATGCAGTCGGGATGCTCGCATTGTCAATGGATGTGGTGTGCACAAGGGTGCAACTGCGGTTTAAGTGTACGTGTGTGTGTGTGTGTGCGTGTGTGTGTGTGTGAATGTGTGTGTGCGCGTGCGCGTGCGCGCGCGTGCGCGTACGCGTACATAGGTGTTCGCAGGTCTGCGCTGGGCACGGACCGGTAGTGTACACATGGACATGGAGTGTGCAGTCGTATGGTGCACAAAAGCTGAAGGAAAGACACAGAGGACAATGGAGCAAACTGGGGCCAATCACTTCTTGACGGGTTACCACGCGAGCCCCAGCTGGCCGCCAACCTATGAAGTCAATGAACCACGGCTGTTCCGAGGTCAACATTGGAATCTGCTCGGAAAAATTGACAATACCTGGCAATGACTGTGTCCGATAACCGATAAGTTACGATTGCCGACACAATCCGCTCGGGCCATCCATGATTTTCAACCCTTCACTCCCTCCCCCTCCTCCCCATCCTCACAAGCTCGGCTGCACGCGCAGGGGTGATCCTTGGCAAGAGTGGCATTTGGTTCGCGGCGTTCGGGGGGGCCCCTGGGGGGCCAAATCCAAGCTCGCAGGCTTTTCATGTTGTTTTCGTTGTCCCTCGTTTTGTCTCCAATCCGCCTCTGCTGCAAAATAAGCCCGAAACGAAAACGGCCCACGAAATCCCCAAACTCTGTTTCGGTCGACCCCTGTGCTGCGGGGGGGCCTGTGAGCCCGCACCAAAAGTCACTCTGGCGAAGGGCCACTCTTACGCGTGGCCCAAACACCCCGCACGGCACCTCCAAACATGGCGCCCGGCATCGGCGCCATGGCCGGCATCGCCTTCGGCTTGGCAGCGTGACGTGTGCCGATGACGCCAGCGTACCCGCCCATGAGCGCTTCGGCGCCGGTGGCGGCCTCGCGTGCGAGCGCGGGAGCGGCCGCTGGGCCACTCGGGGCTTCGGCAGGGCGCCAATCGCTCAGTCGAGCGCATGAGTAGGGATGCGCAAGGTGAACGTGCGATGCCCGTGGAAATCCAGGCTGCAACGGGTGCATCGGGGACCAGGAACAGAGCCGAGCAGGCAGGGAAGACGGCCCTGATAGTGCCGCACACGTACTGACCTCATGACAGCTCGCCGCCTGGGCCCTATGTACCGCCTACTCAAACGGCGAGCATGCATCGGGAGTAGCCCCGCAGGCAATGTGTGTGTGTGTGCCACCCATGTGGCGCGCCATGGTTTGCGAGATCCATGAGCCATGTGTTGCACCATACATTACGTCGCTCATGAGTTGCGCCATGGATTGCGGAATCCATGGGTTCCGCGATCCATGGGTTGCGTGTTCCACGGGTTGCGCCGTCCACGGGTGGCACATGAGATTGCGTCGTCAATGCGTTGCACCATCCATGGGATGCGCCATCAGGTTGCGCCATCCATGGGACGCGCCACGGGTTGCACCACGGGCTGCGCGATCGCACCACGAGTTGTGCAATCTGTGGGTTGCAAGTGTTGGGCGATCCACGGGCTGCGCGATCCTTGGGCTGCGCCACCCGTGGGCTGGGCCGCGGGTTCCCACGCAGGTTGCGCCCCGTCCGCGGGGTGCGCAAAACGTGACGCCATCGGCAGCGCACTCGGCCGCCGACGACAGCATTGCCTGCTGTTGGTTGCACCACAGGTGCCGCACCCGGCGGCCGACAAGATCACGGCCAGCTACTGGTGGCGCCACTCGGTGGCCGAGACTGAACCACGGCCTTTTGCTGGTTGCGTTCTCGGCGGCCGACCATAGAAGCAACGTGCTGGTTGTTGCGCCATCGGTTGCGACCTCGCCAATCGACTATCACATCATCTTTGTCGCGATACGCCATACGCTGGGCCAACGGGCCTGCGATTGGCTGCACAACATGTTGCGCCCTCGGCGGCCGACAAGAAAATGCACAATCTGTTGCGCATCCGGCGGCTGGAACTAACCTAGCCGCCTAATCGGTGCGACCACTCCAATTAAGTGCAACTCCCCGAAGAACAAATGTCGAGCTACGCTCGCAAACATGATGAGCTTGCCACGTACGCTACGTCTGGTCACCTCGTGAGCATTCAATCAAATCCGCCGACCCTGTCGGCGTGTGGAAGAGGCTTCTCCGTCTGCTCCCTCTTCGTCGTCGTCGTCGTCGATGTTCCTTCTTCTTTCCCCACAGCGTCGTTGCTTCTACCCCTCTCCCAAGGCCGTCGTACTTGAGTCGAAGGGAAGCCCCTTCCCTTTGATCCCTTCCAAAGGAAGGGGGGGGGGATCCCGGGGTAGCTCCCGGGGGGGGTCCCCGGTTTATACGCCGCCCTCCCGGGGAATCCCGGAGCCCAAAGGCCCCAAGACCGGCCAAGAGTGCCCCAAGAGGCCCCCAAGATGATCCAAGAGGGCCCCGAATCGCCGAATGATCTGTCTAAGACGCCTTGACGGCCTCCAGACGGCCCAAGAAGCGTGCGAGACGCCCCCAGAGGCCTCCAGGACCGTTCCCACGAGAGCCCCAAGAGGCACAAATCATTGATTTCCCATGCGTTTTTCAAGGATTTTGGCGTTCTCGCCTCTCCCGCTTCCCCACGCGCCAAGACGGCCCAAGAGGCTCCCAAGATCGCCCCGACACGGCCCAAGAGGCCTCCAAGAGGGTCCCCAAACGGCCCAAAAGTGCCCCAAGACGGCCCAAGACGCCTCCCAGATGCACAGAAGGCACCCAAAACGGTTCCAAGAGAGTGCCCAGACGGGGGAACCGAACGGACATTTCGAGCCCTCAGCCCCGAGAAGCTCCCAAGAGGCCCCCCAGGAAGCCCAAAGAGGCCCCAAGAGGCCCCCGAGAGGCCCCAAAAAAGCTCCTAGGAAGCTACAAAACAAACTAGGAAGCCGCCGACAGAACACCACCCCACACCACACAGACAGAACGCTGTTATTTCTCCCCAGTGACAGAACGCTGTCTCCAGGGTCGGCGGCATCGGCCGTAAGGCCTTCGCAATAATGAACGAATGTCTGCTACAGCGGCCCCTGAGGACGCTGGGGGTCTTCAAACTTCCCCCCCCCGTGCAATGCGAAAGCCGCTTCAGACGCGAGTCGAGCAGTGCTGGCAAAACCGTGCCCCTGCAGCGTGGCCGAAACTCAAGCCATGCGGGCCACAACGCACGAGCGCTCAACAAACGCATCCCGCAACGGGTCAAATCGGCTGTCCTGCGAGCGTGGCCAGAACTCCGCAGATGAACTTCGATCGCAGAAGGGCACATAATCCACCCGGGTGACCCATCAGCGAAGGCAAGCAACATCAGGCAACAATATCAGGCTAAGGCAGGCGGAGACGAGGGAGTAGGTGTGGTTGGCACCGTTCTTCGTAGCCGAAACTCAGCGCAAGATCACCAAGTATGCCGCCAAGATGGTCCCAGACGCGTCCCACGCTGCCCCAGTCGGCCCCGAAGCGCCAAAACATGCTCCAGGTTCCAGACCTGCTGACGGCAGCCCTCCAAGGGCCACACGAAGCCTCCAAGACAGGCCCCCATGTCATCCCGAATGGTAGCCAGCGTGGACCCCAAACAGTGCGTCTGGCAAACTATGTGGTGCAATCTAGGTGGTGAAATCTACGTGGTGCAGTAGATGTAGTGCAGTGGTGCACTGTGCGGTCAGAGCTATGTGGTGCACTCGATGTGTTGTAGTCTATACGTTGTGCTGTACATGTGATGCAATGTACGTGGTGCTGTAAACGTGATGCAATCTGCGTGCTACACCTCTGACCCCTCCTCCTCCTCCTTCTCCTCCTCCTCCTCCGTCTCCCCCTCCTCCTCCCCCTCCTCCTCCTCCTCCACCTCTTTGCCCTCCTCTTCCTCCTCCTCCACCACCTCCTCCTCCTACTTAACCTCCCCCTCCTCCTCCTCCTCCTCCTCCTCCTCCTCCTCCTCCTCCTCCTCCTCCTCCTCCTCCCCTCACCGTCATCATCATCATCATCACCACCATCATCAACATCATCATCATCACCATCATCATCATCAGCAGCATCATCATCATCACCATCATCATCACCACAACCATTATCTTCATCATCATCAGCATCATCATCATCATCATCATCATCATCATCATCATCATCAGCATCATTATCACCACCACCATCATCATCACCAGAATCATCATCACCATCACCATCATCATCATCATCATCATCACCATCATCACCATCATCATCACCATCATCATAATCATCAGCATCATCATCATCACCATCATCATCATCAGCATCATCATCACTTTCACCTTCACCTTCACCTTCACCATCACCATCACCATCACCATCACCATCACCATCATCATCATCATCATCATCATCATCATCATCATCATCATCAGCATCAGCATCATCATCATCATCATCATCATCATCATCATCATCATCATCATCATCCCCTCCTCTCCCTTCTCGTCCTCGTCATCATCCTCCCCCTCCTCCTCCTCCTCCTCCTCCTGTCCTCCACGCCCCTGCAGCGAGACAGGCGCGAGCGCGCACGCCTTCGGGGTGGGAGCGGGCGGCCCCGACGTCGACTCGCTGGCGCCGGCAGCTTCGCCCTCCGCGGGCTCCTCCTTCTTCTTCGTCGCCATGGGCGGAGGGGCCAGCGTCTCCTCCTCGGGGAGGGGGAGGTGGGCAAGGAGGAGGAGGAGGAGGCCCACTCGTGTGCCGTAATGGGCTCGAACTGTAGCGACTCGGCTCTCTGAGGGTAAGTTTAAGCTCGACGGGGTGGTTCACTTTGTCGAGAATCTGTGGCGGCTGCCGCCGCCTTCCATATCTTCCACGTCAAGTGCTGCCTCTGCTGCTGCGCCGCCGCCTCCCTTGCAAGCGGAACCTGTTCCCGCCCAGGCCTCTGCGTCCTCGGCCATCCGTGCCGACGACGCGCTGCAGGCCGTCCGTGCCCGTATTCATGGGGAGGTGAGGGACGGGCTTCAGCGGGAGGATTCGTTTTCAGAGGGCTCCGACTAAACGCACATCGCGGTCAGCCAGTCAGCTCCCTTCCGAACTTGCTCGCTTCGCGAGCTCGTCCGAGGTATGCGGCAGAAGGCGGTTGCAAGGTGCGCCGTCTGCCGCACAGTCCTTCCTTGCTGCTGGAGGTGACAGACTTCGTCGCCGCCTCCCTACTCCCTAGCTGTTCCCAGGAGAAGGAGGGGAAGGAGGAGGAGGAGGAGGAGAAAGAGGATATGAGGAGGAGGAGGAGGAGGAGGAGGCGAAGGAGTAGGAGGAGGATGAGAACGGAGAGGAAGAGGAGGAGGAGGAGGAGGAGGAGGGGGAGGAGGAGGGGGAGGAGGAGGTCTTTGTCCCATCCACTTTGGCGTGAGTGTCACCGGCTGCTGCACAGACCTTCTCTCACAAGAGCGGTGTTGGGCCACCCCAGCTCCTCGACCTCTTGATGTGTATGTGGTTTCCTCATCTGTCTGTCTGTTTCTGCTTTTTCCCCTTTTTACCCTCTACTGATGCCTGCCAGCGACTCCTGAAGCTCCACGGCCCCCCCAACGCCGACTGGCCTTTGGGGGGGAGGGCAGCGTCCGGGCAGCGTTCGGACAACACTCCTGCCATCAGGAACCAAGAACAAGGAGGAAGAGGGGAAGAAGGAGGAGGAAGAGGAGGATGGAGACGAGGACCAGTGCAAATCCAAAGCTTACAAACGATGATGAAATAGACCCTCGCACGGATTCGCTACTACTGGGGGAAGTGCCCCGTTGGGAGACAAACCGTTTGATGATCCTACAGCGTGCCAAAACATAATGTTCGGGACTTCGGTGCCACGACTCACTTTGACTGTTGCGCACTGGCGATCTTGACTGGCGCCAGAACAGAATTCACGGACTTCAACATCGATGCTCAACGAAACTGCTTCGCCCTGACATTCCTGAACAGTTCCAAGACACCATGGATGGTACGTTAACCGTGGATACCGCGAAACTCTTAAACCTGGCGCCGATGGGAGAGCCAGTTTAGAAACGACTCGTCCTACATCCAAAAAATGTGCAGCATGTTTCGCTCGGCGCGTCGGCGATAACCACATTGTGAAAACGACGCGCCCCCACTCCGCGAAACGATTGCCATTTGCCAAGACGAATGCGCACAACGCTCACACAAACAAAAGCATGTTGGAACCGGCCCGCCCTCAACTCGCGAGCATGATGCATTATTTAGAGAATGCGTTCGGCGCTTACGCGAATGCCAACATTGTGAAGCAACCCGCCCTCCATCTGCGCAAATTGGTGACACCTTCCAAGCTTCAGGATCATCCGTGGGAAGGAGGTCTCAAGCGAAACGCCCCGCCCGCCCTTCCGTTTGGCCCACGGGCGTGATAGGGAAAAGTGAACTAGTTATAAGGAATCGGAATGGAAGAGGAGGGAGAGGAGGAGGAGGAGGAGGAGGAAGGAGGAGGAGGAGGAGGAGGAGGCGACGACGGAGAAGGGGAGGAGAAGGAGGAGGAGGCGGAGGAGGAGGAGGAGGGAGGAAAAGGAGGAGGAGGAGGAGGAGGAGGAGGAAGAAAAGGGGAAGGAGGAAGGTATGGGCGCGGACTCCCACTTGGAGCGGGGACCCCCATCTGACAACACACACACACCCATAGCACCCCCCCACCCAGGAAATCCAGCCCTCGAAATCTGGAGGTGGCACGGGTCTGCGTGCTAGATGCCACCTCGTGGAGGACGGTGCGATAGGAGCCCCCTGACCCCTGGCCTCGGGCAGGGGCCTTCTGCGCATTGGGTTCCAACGTGGGTGTGTCACTACGGACGGGGTCACGAAGCAAACGTTGAAACACAGATTCAACCCATCTGTGCATGCGCGGTCTGGCGAAAACGGGCGGCATCAACACGACGCAAAAGAGCGTCGTGCACTCGAGCGTTTGGCCTGGACGCGCGCCGCGCGCGACGACCCTGATGGCCTTGTTCTGCAGCCGTCACTTCTGTCTACAGTGTTGCGCGGGCGCGCAGAACGCCGCCCAGATGAGTGTCAGCTGGCGCCCGCCCAACCCTCATGCACCATCACCCTCCTCCTTCCCCTACCCCCCCCCTTCGCCTCATCCTCCTCGTGCCCATCCGATCCACCCTCTCCTTATCATGCCCCTCCTCCTCCTCCTCGTGATTATCATGCCCCCTTCTGTCAGTGCAGGGCGGTCCTCGTCGCCCCCCTCCGCCCGACGCGCCCCCTCCCATCTGCGCCCGCCATCCCTTTTCCCCCACGGCCATGCGCAATCCATCCCGCCTCTTTCTGCCCTCTCCGTTTTCCTCGTCCCGGTGATGCTGGCGCCGATGCTGCAGTTCCTACTAGGCCCATTGGCTCACCTGACCTCTCCTCCCTTCCATTCCCCAGCCCCGTCGCCACCCCTTCTCTCGCACCCGTTCCCTCCCATTGCGCACCATTTTCAGGCACCCCCGCCTTTCGCCATCCTTAACCAAGGCCCCCTTCCGCGACCAGCAGGGAGACCTGCGGAAACTCCCACCCAGGCAAAACTGTGGCGAGTAGCGCGCAGCGCGTGCACAGTTGGACACACACACACACAAATTGTGTATTTCGCACGCGGGGAACGCCCCTCCGTGGACAAGCCGAGAGAAACGCGAAAGTCCCCGCCCAGTCACCACAACCGCGAGGAGCACACTCCTATTACACAGATGGGGACATAATCTGTGTACACAGATCACACCACGATCTGGGTAAACGGTGCCCACACGCGCAAGTATACAGTTGAAAATACGACCTATGTACACAGATCACACCCTGACCTGTGTATGTCGGAAAAATAAAAGCTCGCCGCCTCGAAGGTACCCCTACTTCGCCAAACCAGAACCGCAGTCTACGCCCCCAGCTAGGGGGGAGTGCGAATACACACTTCCCTGGCTCAGGGCGGCCCAGGAGGACTGCAAATACACTCATACGTGGCCCAGGGCAACCACCGTGGAACGCGCCGCGAATGATGCCCACAACGGCCCCAAAACTGTCCAAGAGGGCCCCGAAGGACGCCGAAGGACCCCCCAAGAAGGCCCGACACCAGTCCGACAACATAACAAATAACACATGTCCCGGACGACTGAACATAGCTCGAAGCATCGCCGTTCGGACCGCTGCGCCGACACGGTGGCGGACCTTGCCGCAGGCGCCAAAAGCTTTACATGTTACCGCTACGTCTGTGTTTTGGGGCCGGTGCCGCCCGCGCTTGGGATGCGCCCCGAACGTTTGCATTGGCCACGCCCTCTACTTGGCCGGTTCGCCGGGCGTGCGGATATCGAACGGGTAATGTATTGCGAACGCGGGCGCGCGGCCCCATCACTTGCCCTTCTTGGAGCATGGAGGGAGGACAAGGTGATGTGTCTCCTTCTACTCTTCTCTGGACGACGCGCAGCCAGATCGGGCACGCATGGGAGGCGAGGCGGGCGCTCCCTTGGCGCAGCTGCGCTGGGGGTGGACCGCAGCGCTGGGCGGCCAACTCTGCGGCGGGCGGCCGACACACACACACACACACACACACACACCCGGCCAGCATTTCCTGCTGGTCGTCCCCGCACGCCTCTGGTCCCCCTATGGTGCCCCTGGTGGCGCCTGTGCTGCCCCCACCGCAAAGCTCTTCTCAGTCGACGTGCGTCAAATCAAGGCTAGCATCCTGGATAGGCCTCAGGACCCAGAGCTTGGCCTCCTCGAAGAGATGCTCAGCTTCTTTTGGTTAGCATGTGAGAATGGATGCAGCTGTGGATTCGGCAGCACCTTCCGAATATCACAAGAGCATGGCGTTTTGCCGAAGAACCTGCATGTCTACAGCTCCCGCACCTCGTCGAAGTTGGCCATGATCGCCGCCCGCAGAATCATCACTCCTCACTGGACCGACCCCGAACTGCCCCTGCCCCTTGCCGGAGACTCCGCGTGACAGCGAGTGCGCCAGTCGGTGGCGCTGACAGGAGGCCCGTCGAAGCCAAAAAACAGCGCCTGGGAGAAGGCCCGCTGGCGGGCGCGAGGGCTCTCCCCTAGACCGGCTGAGACACTGGACAATGAGGAGGGAGGGGGAGGTCCTCCTCCTCTTCCTCCTCCCCCTCCTCCCCCCCTCCTCCCCCTCCTCCCCCTTCTCCTCCTCCTCCTCCTCCTCCTTCTCCTCCTCCTCTTCTTCCTCCTCCTGCTCCTGCTCCTCCTGCTCCTGCTCCTCCTGCTCCTGCTCCTCCTCTCTTCCTCCTGGTCCTCCTCCTCCTCCTCCTCCTCCTCCTCCTCCTCCTCCTCCTCCTCCTCCTCCTCCTCCTCCTCCTCCCCCTGCCACGGCCCCGGGGCCCCCGAGTCCGAGGGGGGCTCCGGGGCAGCCCGTGCGCCCGACGGGCCGCCCGCGCGCCCACGCGCCCAGCCCCGCGGCTACGCCGCCGCTGGGCAGGGGCCGGGGCCGCCGCCGCAGCCGCCGACGCCTCTCCTTCCGCTTCCGCCGCCCCATTCCCGCCGCGCCCGCCGGGGTTCCGCAACCGCCGCCGCCGCCGCCTCCTCCTTCCGCCACCCGCCGCTCTTCCCCCGCCGCCGCCAAGGTTCCGCCCCCACCTCGGGGCGCCGGCGCCGCCGCCGCTCCTGGCAGGCCTCGCTCCCTCCACCTCCTCCACCTCCACCTCCTCCGCCTCCTTTTCCTCCTCACCTCGCCTCAGCCGCTCAGCCTGTCCGCCCCCGCCGCGCCCGCCCCGCCCGCCGCCGCCGCCGCCGTCCTCGCCTCTCTCTCACCGCCGCCTCCCCCGCCTCTTTAGGCCTCAGCGCAAGCCCGCCGCCTGGCGCAACTGCGCAGCCGACCGCTGCGTACGCGCGCGACTGCTCCGGCTGCTGCTCCTCCTCCGGCAGCTCGCGCACGTGGCTGACCAGCCACTGGCGCGCTTCTGCGCCGAGCCGCCCCGCGGAATCCACGGCGAAAGCGGTCAGCCGTTCGCCGGGATAGCGGTCGTGCTTCTCTCGTTCTGCACGGCGAAAAGCCTCTCCAGGCTTCCGGGCGGCGACGCGCACGGCGGGCGCGGCTCCCGCCGCGGGGTGGCGCACGGTGACGTCCACCCACCTCCGGCCATCAACGTCCTCGTACTGGACATCGAGGATCGCCCGCTCGGAAACGGCGGGGGCGGCGCCCTCGGCCGCGCGCCGCGGCCAGAAACGGTCCCAGGTGGGCACGCGCTGTTCGTGCAGTGGGCGGTCGAGAGCCCACCGCGCCACCAGCGCGCCCACCGCCTTGGCCAATCCGCCGTGGCGCCGCACGTTGCCTCCCCCGTGCTGGCAGGTGGCCACGTGGTAGCCATTTTGGTCGAGGGGCCCCCGGCAGCGGACCCCGGCGCCCGACTCGTTGCAGCACGTCGCAGAGGCCCGTGAGAGCTCGGCACTGGAGCACTCTAGCCGCGGCAGCAAAAGGTGGCAGCGGGTCCCTGTGGCCCACTCCACGTCTTCCAGCGCACACGCAGCCTCGAGTCCGTGGGGTACTGCAAGTACGCCCCGACCCCGGCCCGCCAGCGGACTGAAGGACAGCCTCATTGCGTAGGCACACTCGCTGCCGGGAGGCAGCCAGGGTCGTCTTGTGCACCGTCGCAGCCCTCTTCTGCCTCGTCGGCCAGCCAAGCGCCGCGGCGAGCGGGGCGGCGGAGGAAGGCTCCGCGCCCTGGCGCGCCAGTTCTGCGCGCGCCTCCGCCAGCGTCGCCGCGTCCCGGGGGAGGGTCTCCAGCGCGCCCGCGAGCGAAGCAGTGCCCAGGTCGCGGCGCACCTCGTCAGCAGCGTGCGTCCAGGCGGCCCAAAAGGCCGCAGCGCGCCTCCCCCTCCTCCCTCCTCCCCCCCCTCCCCCTCCCCCTCCTCCCCCTCCTCCCCCTCCTCCCCTGGAGGGGGAGGGGGGAGGCGGTTGGGAGGGGGGCGACCCACCCTTGCGGGTCCTCCTCTTCCAGGTGCTCCTTGCCGCGCTCACGCCAACGGCCCTTCTCCTTGTCGTAGTACATGCTGCTGGCCGCCCCCAGGTTCGCCCTGACGGACAAGGACGATCGTGCAAGAACTGCAAGGAAATGAAGGCAGATGACGGGGAGGAGTATGAGGCAGGATGAGGAAGGGAGGGAGGGAAGGAGGGAGGGAGGGGGGCGAGGAGGGAGGGAGGGGGGAGAGCAGGAGAACGGAGGAAAGAAGGGAGACGCGATGACGGTGCGAGGGGAGACGGGAGGACGAGGAAGGAAGGAAGGAGGAGAAAAGACGGGGAGGAACAGCTGGGATGGGGTACGGCCAAACCTAGGAAGTAATAACTTCAAGAACACGAGACCCTCCGCAGGCCAAACTGAAGAACCTTCAAGGGCCCCCCACGCACAGGATGCACAAGATAATCCCAACAAGCGCAGAGAACATCAGAGCACCCTCCCCGAAGCGACCTGGATCTTGTATCTCGGCCCGACCTCGGGGAGGAGGCGAACGCGGGTGGGGGGGAAGTGAAAAGGTGCGGGTCTTCTCAGAAGGCTCGGAAGTCCCCTGGAATTCTGAAAAGTTTGATCAGCCTTGCCAGAAGGCACAGGAAATCTCTCAGAAGGCGCGATGACTTCCAAGAAGTGCCGCCGCCCTCTGAGGGCTTCTCCTTCTCAATTCCCCCCCTCGCTCGCCGTCGAGCAGGGAGGAGGGAGAGAAGGCGACAGGAGGGGGAGGGAGGGAGGAGGGAGGGCGGGGGAGAGGGACGAAGAGGAGGAGGAGGAGGCAAAGGAGGAGGAGGAGGAGGAGGAGGAAAGGGAGGAGGGGGAGGGGAGAAGAGGCGGAGGTAGGAGGAGGAGGAGGAGGAGGAGGAGGAGGCGGATGAGGAGGAGGAGGAGGAGGAGGAGGAGGGGGAGGATGGGGGAGGAGGGAGGACGGCGGGGAGGCTGGCAGCGCGATTCCCCGAGCTGGGTGGGCCCCGAGAGGCTCCGCCACGCCCGCCAGTCGTGCGGCGGGGGCCCCGCCGCACGGGCCGCCCGGGGTGCCCGGCCCAGGGCTCCGGGCCCCTCCTGTTCCTCCTCCTCCTCCTCCTCCTACTACTCCTCCTCCTCCTCCTCCTCCTCCTCCCCCTCCTCCTCCTCCTCCCCCTGCTCCTCCTCCTCCTCCCCCTGCTCCTCCTCCTCCTCCTCCTCCTCCTCCTCCTCTTCCTCCTCCTCCTCCTCCTCCTTATCCTCCTCCTCCTCCTCCTCGTCCTCCTCCTCCTCCTCCTCCTGCTCCTCCTCGTCCTCCTCCTCGTCCTCGTCGTGCTCCTCGTCGTGCTGCGACGACGGCGGCTGCGGCGGCAACACGGGGGTGAGTCGGGTCGAGACGCCTCGGTGCTTTTTGGCGGCGCGCAGGGAGGGGGGTACAGTCGGCCCGCACAGCAAGGATGTGCGATGAGGATGCAAGGGCCTCAGGGCCTCCGACGCCAATGTCGAAGCTTCTCGAGCGGGCGCGGCCAACGAAAGTGGCCAAAGATGGGCCGAGGAGCAGGGATGCAAGGGTACCCTTGGGAAGGTTGCCCATCCTTACTGTGCGGGTTGACTGTGGGGGGAGGGGGGCAAGCTTCTTGGAAGGAGGCTGCTTCTTAGAAGGCGCCGGCCTTACATCTACAGACAAGGCCCGCGCCTTCTAAGAAGCAGGGGTGCTTCTAAGAAGACTTCCCCCTCCCCCTCCCCCCCTCTGCGCGTGGCCGAACTCTTGTGGACCAGCTTTACTCCTCTTCCGTTCCCCCCGGTTCCCTCTCACGCGACCCCCCGTGCGGGCCGCCTCCCAGCCGGCCAGCAGGGGGGCCCGGCCCCGTGGATGGCTCCCCGCGGGGCACCCAGGGCCTGCCTGGTGCCAGGGCGGCCCAGCTTGCCTGCAGGACAGCACAGTCAGATTCAGCCACGAGACGTTGACAAACTGGGGGGGTGCGCGGCAGACACCCAGCCATCACCAAGCACCACCCAGCCGTCGCCTTTGGGACCATCTGGGTGGATTTGGAGAATATCGGGGGCAACCCTCAGGCAACTGAGGCTTGCTTCGCCCACCTGCGGGTCCATTTTGGCCCAGGCAGGCCCGCTCGAAGCCCGCATTTGCAATATGTGTGCCAACTTGAGGCCACCATTGATCAATCCCTGCTGCCCCCGTGATGCCCTTCAACGGCCTTTTGCTGCTGCGCGCACGTTCCTTTTCCGTGTCCTGCGACTGATGCGCTCTTGCTCGAAGGCTGCTTCCTGCTTCTCAGGCCACCCCCCCCCTCTGGAGCAGCGCGTGGCGAGTAGCCCTCCTTCGCGCTCGCCATCGCCACCCGCGCAGTCACGAGGACTGCCTCTTCTTCGTTGCGACCGGACTTCGCGCGTGCCCCCTCTTCGTTACCAAGGGTTCGACACCCATGTAACTGGCGGAGGGACAACACCTATGGAACTGGCGGAGAGACACGCTGAGCCAAAAGCTCCCGACCACATGATCGGGGGTTGCTAAAGGTGCCCCTGGTTCGTTCCACGCTGGACCCCCTGAGGCCTTCTTCGGTCTCCTGAGGGGTGCTCTGGAGGCCGCGATGGCCTCCTTGGAAATCCTGGGAGCACCTTGGGCCAGGGGCACTTCTCGGCGGTGGACGAACCTCCCTTTAGTAAACCTCCCCTTAATGGAAACGGCCTAAGACCGAAACCGACGGGCCTGGACCCGAAAAAAATGACGGCCGCGACGCCCTCTCGCGAACAGAAAACGGCCAATTCGCTAACCGACGTGTCAGGCTAGGAGGCCCACCAACCTCCGAACTTCCAGCAACACCCCACCTGAGCCCGCCCAAGCGCCCCCGGCATCCCTCGCTCGTGCCGCCCCCCCCCGGCGAGGCCCTGCCGCTGGGGGGGCCAAGGGTTGCCGCGGCCCTCGCGCGCGCCGTGCTCGGGCGCGCGCGGAAGGTTGACCGCCACGGAGAGGGCACCTCCACTTCCTCCTGCCCCTCGTTCCTCCTCCCCCTCCTCCTGAAACTACCCTGAAATTGCACGCCTGGGGATAAGAAAGTTCGGGGTCCAGGGGGGATAATAAACAATTTCCTCACAGGAGGACGGTGATGGTGAGTATGAAGGCGTAGGGAAGTATACAGTTCAATACGCAGAAGCGGGCCCCCCAAAGCTGGGCCGCAGGACAGAGCAAATAAAAACCGCTCCGGGTCTCCTGGTGGCCTTGGGCTGGTCATCGTCGCCTCCCTTCCGCTTGAAGAGCCGGAACATCGCGACGGAAACCTGTCACGCCGTGCTTGCCCAGGCGTCTCGTCGTGTCCCTCCCCCTCCTGTTCCTCATCCCTGTCCTCTTCCTCCGACCCTCTTCATTGTGGACAGCCCCCCCTGTCGCACCACCAGATGTGTCGGTAGGCAAGGCGGAACGTTGCGCTTCGCTCGGGTCTTCCTTGCAGTTGACTGCGATGCAGCTACGGAAGCTCCAATACCTGCACGGATGGAGGGCCAGTCGTTTTCAAAATGTGGGTCTGGCCTGAGCGCCGCGCACATTCGTCTTTACGACAGCCGCAACTTACAAAACGCGGCTCTCGCTTGCGACGTTGGCGAATCCTGTCCCGAAGTTCTGAGTGGTGAAAGAATTGCGTACGCGGGTGGAGGGTGGCTCGTGTTCAAAGTCGTGCTCTTGCCAACGACCTCCACCGATATGGACGACACTGGCTCTCAGATCGGGAAACACGTGCGCGGATGGAGGGCAGGTCCTTGTCAGAACGGTGCCATCGCTAGAAGATTCACTCACATGTGGCATCCTACAGGAGGAGCTCGACCATAGGAAGCCTTGCACAAGAAACCCAACCCTGAGACCCCAGGACGTCCACTGATTTTTGGTGTGGGGACGTCACGCTTTCCATAGCAAGACCATCGAAACCCAGGGCACCTTGGAGGCAAGCAAGGTGCTTCTTGGCATAGGGGTTCCACCGTGCCTCTTTGCGTGCCGTCTGCCTGGAAAAACGGGGCGGGGGGGGGGCTCCGTGTTCACCACGGCGTCTCGCCCGAGTGCCAGGCCCACCGCGCGCTCATCTCTCCCAGTGGGCTCCCCGCACTGGAGATGCGGGCCAAGAATAATGTACACCACCACCACCTCCACTCCTCCTCCCTCCTCCACCCCCTCCACCCTCCTCCACCCTCCTCTCTCCTGGGGAAGGGAGGGGGTGAGGAAGGTGATGGTGGTGCATACTCTTGGGCGCCGTAGGAAAGGACGACTTTGCACGGGGACTTACGGTCAGCTTTTGCATAGCGTGTCGCGGCGGCGGCCCCGACGACCCGCTGGGCCGTGCGAGCGGATAGCGTGTCCCTCCGCTCCGCTCCGCTCCGCGGGGCGTAAGGCTCGGAAGAGCTCGGGACGTTGACGCTGAGGGGCCAAGAAATGGATCGCAAATCGCACCGAAGCGTGATGGGCCAGAACCGGCGGGACGACACGCTGAGCCAAAGCACCCGACCACATGGGACAGGACGTTGAACGGGAGGGTGGATTGGAGCATGGTTGATGCGTCCTGGGTTTTCTCTGGTCCTACTCCTCCTCGTCCCCCCCCTTGTTTTTGTCTCTGTCTCTCTCTCTCTCTCTCTGTCTCTCTCTCTCTCTCTCTCTCCCTCCCTGCTGGGATACCCGTTCTTACTCGAATCCCTCCTGCAAGCCAGCTGCACCCAAAGAGCAGCAACAACAAACACCCCAAAGGATTGCCGCGAAATACCGGTGAGCATGCATTATCGAACTCGCGTCATTGACTATACTCTAGTCGATGTCAAACAGATAGGACTTACCCAGGCAGAGGTGGCTCACGCGGGTGAACAAAGCGAGTCATTATTTGACTCACCACATCTCGATACATCCCTCATCAAAGAGTACGCTACGCAGTTACGGTAGACATGCACGCAACTGAGATGAATAATAATACGAGACGACTCCGCACGGCAGATACAGCTCTTCCACCTCTTCCCCCCTGCACCCCATCCCCCCAAGTCCCCATCCCCCCTCAGCCGTCCTCTTCCTCCTTCCCCTTCCTTTCCTTCCTCTCTGTCCCCCTCCCCTGGCCCTTCTCTCCTTTTGGGCACGCCTCGAGCTGCAACAACCAGGAGCTGGCCGATGATCGAAGACAGGCGGCGTTCAGGATCCGCCCTTCTTCCACTCCCCCCCAACAGGCACGGGGCGGGAGTTTTTGAGACGTCTTAGTTTGGGACTCTGGCCCAGAGTCCTCAGCAAAGTTGAGCATAACAGAGGAGCACGCACCGACAGTAATTAGGCACAGGCGAACTCTGTCATATCGCCACGCGAGACTGGAGAAACCAACAGGTACCCATACCGCTACTCCTCGGACCTCTCCTGGGGTGCGTCCTAGCCAGGATTTCGAAGCGAATCCAGCGGTGGCGACGAGGGCGTCCCAGGGGCGCCAGACTGGATGAGGGTGGGGCGCTTTCGGCTCTTTGCTGTGACCGCTGGCCCTCGATGCCTCTTCCTTCCCCTCCTCCCGCCCCTCCCTCTTCCTATTCATATGCCATATCCAGGCGTTGGTTTGTCTGGTTTCTCTGGTCTGGGAGCTCAGAAAACGTGGCCAGGCGCTGGTTGGTCTGATTTTTCTGGTCTGGGAGCCCACGAAACCTAGCCTGGAGGTTGGGGGCTTGCGAACTACTGCCGTCAGACCAGAAGAACCAGAAAAAAACAACGCCTGACCAGGTTTTGTGAGCCCCCAGACCAGAAAAAAAAAAAACAAGAACAACCTACGCCTGGCCAGGTTTTGTGCATGAGGAGGAGCAAGGGGAGGATGGGGGAGGGGGAGGAGGAGGCGGAGGAGGAGGAGGAGGAGGAGGACGAGAATGGGGAAGAGGGGGAGAAGGATGAAGAAGAGGAGGAGGAGACGCTGGAGGAGGAGGAATGAGAAGAGGCAGCCGCGGATGATGATGATGATGATGATGATGATGATGATGATGGTGATGATGATGATGATGCTGCTGATAATGATGATACTGATGATGATTACCCTTTTGCGACAAAACCAATTTGCGGCCGACCCCGGCCACCTCGATCTTTCTGCCTGCACACACGGACTATGGCGGGTCTGCTGCGGGGCCACTTCTCAGATGGTTGAGCGCCAGCGCCCAGCTAGAAGTCCAGAGCCAAATCGCCTGCGGGAACAGACCAAAAATGATGGCCCACCAATCGATGAACGGGAACTGACCTCAGAGGGGCCAGACAGGAACAACACGCGCGCCTGCCTTCACGACCTCTGGCCCACCCCGCGGATGAACTCACCCGCGAATCGCACGGAGACCTCCACGGGCTGCTGGCAGCACGAGAGGAAGGGGAGTAAACCACTGCAATCCACTCGGCATCGGCTGCGGCATCATCTCAGCATACTGCGCTGCATGCTCGGGGTTCCCTGACGGATATCCCAAGCCAAAACCGCATAAATGACGAAATTGCTGCCACCAATACCATTCCGCACCAAGAACGAATGACTTGAGGAAATAGCCATACGTAATGCCTAGCACGAACATGATACACACAACTGCAAACACGACCTTCGGAGATATCTGGAAATCGCCTGACTTCTGACGACGTTTGACCCCACCAGCTGGCTGGGCAAAACTAATCCTCTGAATCGAAATCTTCTGGAAAGATCGCGCCGTCGTTTCAGTCCAGCTGCTGAAGTACCTCCCAGAAACACTGAATGTGCTCCTTCTTGGCACGGGGCGGGTCGCCGTCGAAGTTGTCCTTGCAGAAGCTGTTGAGCGCCTTGACCACCGTGGGGTTCGACGTCCAAGACTTGGTGATGAAGTCGCTCACCTCCTTGAAGTTGCCCCCGGACATCTTACACTTCCCACCGCACAAATCTGTGATGATGCACTTCTGAGAGTTCGAGAGCACGCCGTCGATATTCTGGCCGTTCTTGGCGAGGGCGACCGTAGCCGGGGGTGGGTTTGGCGGAAACGACGGGCCTCCCGAGCCTGATGCACCTGAACCTGCTGGTGCCGCTGGCACTGCAATCGCCGCCAACGCTTGGTTCAACTGCGAGCCCACAACACCTGCCAAGAGCTCGCCCTGGCGCTTGAACTCCACGTCGCGGGACTCCTGCCCCCCCCCCCCCCCCCCTCACTGCCGGTAGCGAGCGAACTGCGGGCTCCGCTTGGCGAGGATGCGCTTGGCACGGCGAACCTCCTCCTCTGAGTCGGGCGAATCGTCGCGGCGGCGGCGGTCCCTGTCACGATCGCGATCGCCACGGCCACGATCGTCGCGGCCTCCACGACGGTCTCCGTCGCGGTCGTTGCAACCACGAGTCTGCTCGTAGGGGCGACCACCGTAGCCCTTGCCATAGCCATATCCTGCGCCCTTGCCGCCGTCGCCTTTGCTGCCGTCGCCCATCGCTCGACGCCAACTTTGCGCGCGATTGCTGAGCCGAACTTGGGATAACCGCAACCCCCGAGCACTGAGCGCAGATTACGACGGGGGCAATGACAGCACGAATTTGGTGATAAACGGCAGGGGATATCCAAGCTTTTATATTTCCAGGGCATATTCGGGGATGGTGATAGCCATGAGAGCCCGAGACAAGCCTGACAACCGAGCGGAAGCCAGTTTGCTAAGAAGAGGTGCTCGAACACGCGCGAACGAATATGGTAGACGACCAAGCCATGGAATAAGAACACTATGATGATCGGAAGAGGCCCCGAAGATCCACAGCCGCTGTTGGTTCTTAAGAGTCCAGCTTAGTGACCTCGCATACAGATGCAATTCTGAATTCACCCATTGAAATACTTCACCATCTGGAGATAAGGGCCCGGGCGAATACCGAGTCGGACGCCCTGACGACTGAAAGACGACAGATACAGGCTCCGAACACATGTTTTCCACGAGTGCCTTCATACACCCTGGGCAATAGCAGAGACTAAAGGACATCACGTCGTCGACATGCCTACGCCATGTCAGAACGGCCTCTAGAGGGGGGATGTGACCGAAACCCAAGAGTTGCCAACTTCGCACCATTCTCCATCGTCAGAAACTCCTCATGCGCAAAACGAACGGACACGGCAGCACTACTAATACTGCCCCCAATACACAATCCCAGAAGCTCAAAGACCAGGTTCCCGACGGCCACGAAACTGCACGTAAGGCCTGCTAGAATGGCCCTCCGTAAAACCTCCAGGGGCAGGGCCCACCAGGCTCTACTCCAGGAGCGCGTGGCAGCCATTGCTTTGCACTGCCGTCCTTTCGCAATCAGAATCGCGCCAGCACCTGCGACGGCACGAAAACGAGATTCCAACCACAACCAAGCTGGCATGGCATTTTCACTGCGGCAACTGTCAAAAGCCTGGTCAACGTCGAACGTCGAGACCTGCAAGCGGCCGCGCAGCTGACAGCCGCGCCGCAGGCAGCACCCATCGGGTGCAGGTGCTGCCAGGGACTGCAAGTCCGCTCTCAGAACCTCCCCAAAGTCAGTGATGTTCAGGATCTCACGACCTGCTCCAGAGATTTCCAGAACAGCACGAATAGCACGACCGATAACTTCCCAGGACCTCGCGAACGGGATCGTGGACATGTCAATAATTCTGCGCATGCACGGAAGGGTTGGGCGGCCGCATTTCCACTCGCCACAATCTGAAAAACACTTCGACTTCACGAACGGGAAGAGGGTTGGAGGAGAAATGCCTTGACCCAGAAAACCTCGCCGGCGCGCCAGGAACTCGGGAAGGCCGACGCGACCGCGAACAGGATGCCAAGCAAGTATATCACGTGGACGAAGGTCAGGGTGATAACGTCACAACGTCGCATCGGCCATCATCTTATGAACTAGATACGGCCCAACTGCCCCTCGATCAATAAGCCACGCCTTAGTTCCATCACGATCGTCCCTGGTTAGCGCTCCACGAAGACGGGTGATATCCTGAAGCTGCGACCCCAACTTGGCCCAAGGGTCAGGGCGAACTGGAGCGGGGAGAGCCTGAATCTCGACATCCAGCGCTCCTCGAAAACGCCGCTGAACGCGAGGGTGCAGCCGACGACGTTGTCCCCACGAGCGCCGCGCACTTTGCAGCGTACGACGAAGACGGGGCAGCGACGGCAACGCAGGTAACTTGCACGGTCCTGAATACGCAGCTAACGTGGGATACGTCGCATAACGACCGAGAATACCTGGAGCCACCTGCTGAAACTGCGACTGACAAAGACCACGAAGAACACGCTTCACGTTGAACATATCTGCCCAGACCGGCCTTCGCTGTGAGCACGCTGAGATGCTCACTTAGCCACCGACGAGCTGGCTCACAACGAACTTCATCAATTGCAGTTTTGAACAAATGACGAAGAAGATGCAGCCGCCGAACGAGTTCACGTGGTACAATGACGGGAGAGACTGAGACCGGTGGCAACCCATGCCGCTGACACATCTTGTTCAAGTGAGCCATCGCTGCAAATTGAAATGAGAAACCACAAGCACGAGACTTGATTTCACCAGCCAACTCATAGATGTACTCAGCCTTCTGCTAAGCCTTCTGCCAGAACTACCACGGCGATGGAAAGACAATATCGGCATGCTTAGATGAACAGTAGGCCAATCGCATGTTGAGGCACAGCGGGTTGCGACCCAGCAAGTGGAGCGGGCCGAGCATCCCAGTGGACAATGCCATACACCGAAGATGGAACAAGTACAGCTTCTTAAAACTGCCGCGAACTTTTGACGGATGAGTTGAAGGCTCCGACGGCTTCCTGCCAATAACATCCCTGAACATCGTAGTAGTCCAAATCGAGCCTGTCGCCCGCTGCCGAAAACGAGGGAAAGGCCGGCTGCGGGGCTCAGATAGATCTGGTCGAACTCGGAATCCACGGCGTTGCATATTCTGAAGAAGTCGGTAATCTGCACCATTGCAGCCTGGACGTAGCATCTGTACGAGCGCACGCTCAGCTGTCAGAGCCTGGAGCTCTGTCGGACACCATGCCACTGGCAAGAAACCAATACTACCGAGCGACTTTCGCAACGATGCATATCGAGGCAATTCAGAATCACGACGAGAATGAAAATCAAGCAAAGCTTTGTAATGCTCAGCGCAGCGCTCTGGAATACCTGGGCGACCTTTAGCCCGGGCAACGTTGGCTTTGCAATTGTACAGGCCACTGTGACCGAACAACAGATACACCGCTGCGCCTGACCCAACAGACTGAAGTAAATTGGATTGCTGATGCTGAAACCATTCCACCGCACCATTCTTGATATGAAACGCCATCTCGCTTGGCATAGTCATAAGAACACGGCGAGCCCAACGCGGACATGATGGCAATGATAACGCTGTGCGAATCTGAACGAAAGCCATACCTTGAGCGAGGAGTGCCAGAACGAGATGACCTGCGCGACCATATCGACCGACACGTAAACGATCAGGGGAAATCGCTTGTAAAATGTGGAAAAGTGCTTCACATAGGCCAACCACGTCGTTCATCAGAATACGTCCGACCACCCATTCAGAAACAATTGGTGCTGACAGTTCCCCTGGATGCGAAAGATGTGCTCGGACTGGAAGAACCACTTGACTGGCCCGCGCACTGCGCACTGTAGGACGCGGCCATTTCACCGAAGTAGGCATCGGGAAAAATACAGGCTGAACAGAAACTTGCTATGCGCTGCACCAATGCCCAATCGCGCTTCATACGCGCACGGCACAAGCACACGCATGAAGAGAAGGTACACGAATGCAGCGAATTTGTGCCTCAGGCCCACTCGCGCTCCACGGATGCACGTCACAGGCACAGCCGCGAAGAGAAGGTGCCCGATTCCAAGCAAACTCAGCAAGTAAGACCTGCACAGACCTGCAGGTGACTGAATATGTAGAGGACGAAGTAGAAGATGAGGTAGAACGCGCGCGGGTTGAACAAGCTGACGGCCGCAGCAAATCGGAATACTCGACAGCCTTGAGATGATTATCTTTCTGCGACAAAATCAATCTGCGGCCGACCTCGGCCACCTCGATCTTTCTGCCTGCACACACGGACTATGGCGGCTCTGCTGCGGGGCCACTTCTCAGATGGTTGAGCGCCCGTGCCCAGCTAGAAGTCCAGAGCCAAATCGCCTGCGGAACAGACCAAAATGATGATGATGATGATGATGATGATGATGATGATGATGATGATGATGATGATGATGCTGATGATGATGATGATGATGATGAGGAGGAGGAGGAGGAGGAGGAGGAGGAGGGGGAGGAGAAGCCCGGCGTTAGTTTCTGTTTTTGTTTGTTTGTTTCTTTCTGGTCTGGGAGCTCAGAAAACCTGGCCAAGCGTTTTGTTTAAAGGTTTTTCTGGTTTGGAAGCTCAGAAAACCAAGCGAAGGGTACAGGCATGGGCAATTATCTCTTCCTTCTCGGAGACAAGGCAGAGTCTCGAGAATCTCCCCCACCGCCTCTCTCCCATCGTAACAGCCGCCGCCGTGAGCGCTGCCGTCCGCCGCCCGCCGCCGCCCTCGGCCGCGGCCGCGCGGCGGCTGCAGAGCGGAGCCCTCGCGACGGCGGCGGCGGCGGCCTCCATGAGACGAGATTCGGACCGGCGCAGGATCGGGCCGGCACAGGTCGGGGACCTCTGCGATCCTGCGGCTCTGGTGGATGCCTCGGGCGCCACTCGGGAACGCCCTGAGAGCGTTCCTGAGCGCTGTGCAGTCAGCCCGTGTACTGAGGACGCGCGACAAGGATGCAGGGGCCTTGGCAGGCCATCTCGAGGCTATTCGAGCGGGGCCCGGCCAGTGAAGGTGGCCAAGGATGGGCCGAAGAGGTAAAGATTAGGTCGGGCATGTCCTCCTACATGCGGATTTGGGGCAAAAATTAAAAAAAAAAAAAAAAAAAAAAAAAAAAAAAAAAAAAAAAATCGCCGGCCCACCGGGCCAAGGGCGTGCTAAGATCTCCGGTTACTAGTTAACAATATTCTAGTTCGCGCGCGCGGGGCCGCCCCTGGGGGTCCCCGGACGAAAATACCCCGGGACACCCCGGGACACCCCCGGGACACCCCCGGGACACTCGGATCAGAGATGCCAGACAGGGCAATTTTTCGACACCCCTCACGAGGATCGTGGCCTCCGAGGGGAGGGGCGCAATCGACTACCCCTCCTCCTGACCCTAGAGGTCCCTAAGACTGCCCAAGAGGCACCCGAGACGCCCAAAGGGCGCTCCAAGACGCCGATGATGACCCCAAGACGGCCCAAGAGGCCTCCAAGTGGCCTCTAAGAGGCCTCACAAGAGGGCCCGAGAGGCCAAAACCATAATTTTTACGATGGTTTTGAAAACATGTTGGCCTTGTCGCCTTTTCGGCCATCCGATGCTCCAAAACGGCCAAAGAGGCCCCCAAGAGCGCCCCAAGAGCACCCCAAGACGGGCCAAGAGGCTTCCAAGAGGGCCCCAAGAGGGCCCAAGAGGGCCCCGAGACGGCCCAAGAGGCGCCCAAGACGGCCCAAGACGTCCCCAAGACGGCCCCAAGAGGGGCCCAAGAGGGGGACCACGAACCGAAAACTCGAGCCGTCCGCCCCAAGAGGGCCCCAGGAGGCCCCGAGGGGCCCCCAAGAAACCCCCAAGAGGCCCCAAGATGCCGCCAAGAGGCCCCCAAGAGGCCCCAGGAGGCACCCAGGAGGCCCAAAAGAGGCCCCAGAAGTTCAAAAATGCCTCCCAGGCGCCCCCGAACGGCTTCTCAAAAGATCCCAAGAGGCCTCCCAAATAAGCAGTTTGACGACGACCCTGTTTAGCCCCAAGAGCAACACAAGATGCCAACAAGAGGCTTCCTCCTCCGCCCCTTCCCCTTCCTCCTCCTCCTCCTCCTCCTCCTCCCCCTCCTCCTACTTATCTTCATCCTCCTCCTCTCCTTCTCATCCTCTCCTCCTCCTCCCCTCCCCTTCCCCATCCTCATCTTCCTCCTCCTCCTCCTCCTCCTCGGCTGCGCCACAATGGCCCTGGGCCCACGGCGAAGCAGTAGCGATCATGCAACATGGGCCGGCGAAATGAGCGAAGCGATTGAATTATCAAAAAATCGTCCAGGTCCCTGTTGAGGGACAGGCCCGACTTAAGGCAACGATGCAAGGGTACCCCTGGGAAAGTTGGCCATGCTTCTGATGCGGGTCGGCTGCTGTTTCCTGGTCCTCGGCCCGCTTGACCTAGGCCTGTCAAGGGTTGCGTCCTGGCCAGAGGTCACCGTGGTCCCTGGGGGGCGTCCCGGGGGGGCCCAGAGGGGCAGTCACACAACAATTGAGTAAGCCACGAGCCTCGATGCTCTAATCTACAGCGACGACGACGTCGTGAGCGCAGCTCGATCCTCGAACAGGGGGGGGCGCAAAATACCATACCGATGCCGCTACCCCGAGGCCCCTCCCGGGGCGCGTTCTGGCCAGGATCTCGAGGCTCCAGCTGTGGCGACGAGGGCTCTCCAGGGCGAGCAGCGGCATCGGTATACTTTTCTCCGTCGACGGACCTCGACCCTCGAACGTCGTCGTCGTCGTCGCCGCCGCCGCCGCCGCCGTCTTCTGGTAAGGCTTCGGGATTCGCACAGGCAGCCCCCCCAGGTAGGTAGTCCCTGCTGGCCGGCCTCAACAGAGCCCCCGAACAGTCCTGGCTTGCCCCAACAACCCCCGTGAGTAGTCCTATTCCGGGGTGGTCTTATCAACACCTCAACCCTGGGGCGCGGAGCGCCCCAGCGGCGCCGCCAGAGGCGGCACCGGAGTGTTGAGACCGCCCCGAATTACCCGGGGGGCCTGTTGAGGCTAGCTAGGACTACTCGGGGCCTGTGCGCAGCCCGAAGATTTACCCGACAACGACGACGACGATGATGACGACGACGAAAACGATGACGGAAACGACGACGACGACGACCACCACCATCACCACCACGACGACGACGACGACGATCCTGAGACCTGATGTTTCGAACAAATCTGAACATCGTGAAAATCACGACCAGAGCCCTAGACCCCATCTTTCCGCGCCATTTTTTCGAGCTGGATCGATTGGTGGGGCCCCCGGTCTGAATCCCAGGGCATTGTTACCCCTTCTCACCGTCGTCTTGATCACACAAAGATGATGAAGAAAGGAGAACCCTCTTCGCCTGCGATCGTCGGCGGCGCGCTGGCTGCGCCGTCTGAGGCGGAACTCCGTCTTGCTTGTAAAATCACGCCCGCCCACTGCCGAACCCAAAAGGCTGCAGAATGGACGGACTTTAGAGCAGACCCCACACAATCAAACAGGGGGAGAAGGAATCTGCTCGAGCCCGTGGTCCGTGGCTCCTGCGGTAGCCACGTCGCTACCAGCTGGCCGATCGCGCCTCCGGCTCTCCAGGATCTTCTTCGCCTCGGACTGGTCCGTGTCGTTCGTCTCGTCGAAGATCCCCTTCCCGAGCGCCGCCCTCTTCCGCGCGGAGAGGAACCTCTCGTCATGCACGATCTTCCAGCGCTGGTTCTTCAGGAAGGCGTGGAGCACGTTGAACGCCTGGAGGCTGGCTTTGGTCATGCCGTCTGCGAGCTGAGCATGACTAATTACGCACCCAAAGCGCGAGGGTGCCGCCCTCCTCTAGGGCACGGCGCAGAGCGAGCGCCTCTATGGCCGTCCGCCTCTCGTCGAGGCCCAACCCGGCCGACTCGGATTTCACCGCGCCGTCGTAGAACGCCATGCAGCCCGTAACGAAGGCACCAGGCACACGATGAAAAGCTCCTTGGCGATCATGGAGGTCGAAATTCCCGTAGAGCACCTCGTATAGAACCACGCGCACCATCATCTGCTCGCCCTCGGCGTCGCTGGCCTCCTGGATCTCTGCCGATAGACTCGAACGAGCGACCCTCCTCAGCTTGCGAGACCCCCAGTCCAGGACCGTAATGTCACAGGCGTTGTGGTAAGGCCCTTCAGCTGAACTGAGCGCAGTGACATGCCCGCCTTGAGCCCCACGCAGCATCACGCCACGTGAAGACCCGAAAATCGGGAGGCCCTTGTCCACACCCAGGCAGGCTATGACGGAAGATCTGGATCCCGTCGGTCCAGTTAGCCTTGACCATCTTGGTGATGTTGTTGATAATCCCGAAGACCTTGTCGTCGCTGGTGGGGATTTTGCTCTGGCCGTCTGCGACCCATGCTGAAACCCACGGCAGTGTATTTAGGCCCAGCCAAGATAACGCGCCACACCAAGGCCGCAAGGTACTCTGATCTGCTTCAGAAAGTCGGTCTTTAGGTCGAGCCTTCGGGTGCTTCGGGAAGGTCTCCTTCAGCTTGTCGATGTAGCTCTGCTGGTGCTGGAAGGAGCCCTTGTCGTACGCTGCGATCGATGCCGCGCGCTGCTCGATGGTCTCCCGGGCACATGTCCTCCCAGGTACCCCCAGGTGTAGAGCTCCTTGATGCCCTTCAGCGCCTTCTGCCAAGCAGGGTGACTTCGGCACATCGAATGAAATTGTCAACGCGGCACATCACGAGGCCCAGAAGTGCAGTGGTCTCGGGGCAGCGAAGGCACCAGAGGCTGGGTTCCAAGTCGCAAGCCTGAAGACCTAGCCTTGCGAAGTCCAACTTCACCGTCGCCGTCTGCCACCACCTCCTGGGCGCCTCGCCGATACCGTACCCCGGTTTCACCACCCGCAGTACTTCACCAGGTCGGACACCGAACGTTGCTGAGAAAGCTTCATCTGCCTCCACGAAAAGGTCCTTCTTGAGGTCGTTCGCCTGGAGGAACGCGCGGGCAACGTCGCCCTCGACGATGATCCACGAATTCGCAACCGCCACCGTGAGGAGGATATTCCTTGCTCCGGGAAGCTGTCGGCGATGCCGACGGTTCCTGGCCGATGTCCTTGGTCTGGTAGCCGAGGAGAACGAGGCGGGCCTTCGCCGCGCCGTCGCTCTCGCGGGTCAGCACCCACCGACAGCGACTCACGTCCGCGGGGTCCTTCACCTCGGAGATCGGGACAGGCCGTAAGTCCTCGTGCTGCTTCCAGTTGGTGACCTCCTTCGTCATAGCTCTGCGGAGTTCGTCCTTCTCGGATGAGGACAGTTTGCCCCGATGAAACTCGATATTGTCCTTCCGCTTCTGGTTCGCCACGAAGCAGTCTAACATCTGGGTCGTCAGTCTGCGACGGCCCCCACTGTCCGCGAGCTCGGACTTCAGCATGTCGCAGTAGCACGTCAGGTTCTCATCGAGAAACTCGAACTCCGAGCCGCTCGCGGCCCCATTGAAGGTGATCCCAGTGAACAGCTCGTCGCGGGCATGGTCGCCTGGGTCCGCGGGGGGCGGCTTAGGGGCCAGGGCGATCAGGGCGCCCGTCAGCCGGTGGAGCTCGGTAGGTGGCCTCGTCGGCCTTCGAGTACATTCGCCAGCGTCGTCCTGGTGGGTCCGATGGTGGCGTAGGAGATGTCGCCGTAGGAGACGTCAGTCGCGGCTGCTTGGGCACTGGCTGCTCGTTGGTGGAAATGCTAGAAGGAGAAGGTGGCGTCGACTCTGGTGGCGTAGGCTCTCCTGCTGGTTCGGGGTGTACTTCGGGTGTACTTCGTCAAGTCCATGATCGCCTGCTTCTGCTTCCATCGGCTCAGCGTCGTTGGAGGTCACTAGGGACTCGCTGGGCCCGATCGCCCGCGGCTCGAAGTGCTGGATGCGGGGCCGGCTCTCGTAGGAAAGGTCCTCGAACGCACCGCGGCGGGCAACCTCCATCAGGTCCAGCATGGTCGCCCCGCGTCTCCGTGTCGTTGAGCTCCGCGACCGCGCGCTCGGCGTCGGTGGCAGGCCGCAGCTGCTCGGGAGCGCGCCGCAGTAGAACGTCGCCGCGTGAGACCCAAACCACTGAGGTAGGCCGAGTAGATTTCGCCAAGATTCGCTGCTCCTGGACCAGTACGCGCGTCAGCCCATACCAGGTAGCCTTCACAGGTCCGCGGCCCTTGCGCCAGTAGTTGACGTGCTCGCCGGCGTTCCAGCGGGTCGTCACGCGGCTGCGGGCGCGCTCAGCATGGCGACGTGGCCCTGGGTACTCCACCTCTGAAGCTCTGGCGGGCCAGAACTCGTCGCCGTTCGCGTGTCTCGTCGTGGCTGTCGTCGACGATGGCGAAGGGGTTCCCCGAGGACTGAGCTTTACCCACGCCAAGCGCGTGGACGAACGGGGAGTGGCTCCCCACCTTGTCGGGGTCGTTGATGGCGCGGGTGACATGGCTGATGGCCTCGTAGATGTCGCAGTCGTGGTTCTGCTTCCGGAACTTGGCCAGAGCGCGCTTGAAGAGCTGGGTCCTGCGCCCCACCTTCCCCATGAGCCAATGGGCTTCTCCAGGAGCAATGATCGTCTCGATGCCGCGAGAGCAGCACCAGCTTCTAGTCCGTTCAGCCCGACGACATCCTTCAGCATCGCAACGCACCAGACGCGGCACACGATAGCGATTCGTCAACGATCTCCAAGTCTCGAGAACATCCGCAGCTGACCTGTTGCCTGACCTCTGGGACTTGTCGCCGCGGTTGATGACCTGAGTAAGTCGGGATCCCTCGTTCAAGCTCAACGTCAGCAGGTAGATCGCATCGTCTACAGGGTCGGTCCACTCGAGGCCGTCGCTCCCCAGTACCTCGAAGACTTCGGGGATCTCGATTCCAGCCGCAGTTCGCACCGCCATCGGCAACACTGAGGAGTCGCACGCGTGACACTTGAAGTTCTTGACCATCTTCAGGACCTGCAAGCTGGCGCCCGAATCCTCAAGGATCTTGAACATGGCGCGGGCGCTGGGATGGCCGAGGATACAATGAAGACAGCTGAGGCGGAGCTCGATCTCCTGCGCCTCCTTGGAGGTGAAGTGGCCGTCCTCCTTGGATAGCGCCTTGACGTCGTCCCCGTCGAACTCCTCGTCGGATGCCTGTGGCGCCATCTCCTGGTCCACGTCCACATCGACCCCCTCGAAGATCAGATCGTCGTCGTCTATGTCGGTCGCCAGTAGCGCCGAGGCCCCAGCCATTGAACCGCCCCCGGCTCGGGGGATATGCCTCGCCCAGGCCTTGCGCATGGCCTCGGGGTAGAAGGCGGTCGAAGCCGAGGTCTTGCCGCCCAGAATCCCACCGTGCTCGCGGTTGCCATGGCGACCAGGGCGGTTGCTGCACCTCTTGCCGATGGCCTTCTGGAGCGCGGGGCTGGTGGAGCAGATCCGCCAGACCTTGCGAAGTAGCCGTCCACTGCGAGGGCGCTTGAGGCCGTAGGCGCAGTCGGTGACCAGCGCCTCGTAGGTCTGCTCGTAGGTCCGACCTTGACCAGCTCCGCGACCGCGGGGGTTGTTCGAGATCAACTTGCGTCCCAGAGTGCTGGAGCCCAATCGACATGATCGTCTCGCATCCGATCTGGATCCGCCGAGCTGGTTGCACCTGCTTGCGTAGTCGTTCTCGATATCCAGGTGTCTGCTGGTTCCAGTTCTGCAGTTGGCAGTCGGCGGTGCAAGGGGGGTTCATGGCGATCCATCGAGGTCGATGTTAACGAATCCAGGGAACCAAACGACGGACCCCCGTCTGGGTAGCCACGTCGAATCCGTTGTGCGCTCCAGCGCGGAAGGCGAGGCCGCCCTGTTCAATCGCTGCCTGGGCCAGAAGTGACGCAGGTGGAATGCAGACCTCCAGCAGGTCGTAGCGGCCGCGTCGGGCGAGGTAGTTGACGGGGTCGCCGACGACCGTCTGGTAGGATGTCGCGCTGGTCGATCGCGCTCTGAATGACGTCCAGGTCCTCGCGACTCGGGGTGTCTCGCGGCCCTCTTCGCTGCTCCCCCCTTGTCGGGCGCGTCGTCCAACGCCCCGAGGGATTCCGACGGGGGGCCCTGTTTCAGCTTCATCAGGACCTTCTCAAGCGCGCGCACCCACCTCACGTGGGGCACCTCGGCCCCGCAAAGGCAGCTGGCTTAAGCTCGCCGATCTCGGGGGCGGGCCCTTTGGAACGCCACCTTGAGGCTCATTGTTCTTCCGCGGTGGAGGGTCGGTAGTCCTGCGCGACGCTCAGGGAAGGTAGAGCGGCCTCCTCTAGGAGGCAGTTGTGACTGCGCCCGCCCGCGCACGAGCACCCGTTCCTCTTGCGACCCGCATGTCCGCAGCATCCGCACCTCTGGAAGCCCTCGGCCTTGGACTTGGCCGCCTGGACTTGCGCCGCCGTTGGGTTGGCCCCCTCAGCACCCAGAGCCGCATCTTTCGGAGAGACAGAAACACACTCGTCTTGAATCACCCTGGCCTCGCGCAGGCGCGCTGGCTGTCGAAGTCGTCGGCAGCTTCGAACGGAACGGCGTCGTTCCACAGTCCTTCGGCCGCTCCTGAACGGGCGAAGGCGGCGGTGGCGCACCCGAAGGCGACGACGCTGTGCCGCGGCGCCATACCACCCGCGGAATATGGGGAATATGGGATGCGAAGATGCCTTCCTGATTGCATGCCCTTTCGAACCGAAAGCGCTCGGCGCGCATCAAAATCATCGGGATCGGAGAAAGGCGCAGGTTGTCGCTTCGGAAACTTCGAGCTCGCACTCGTCAGTATTCGGGGGGATGTAGGTGACTTCATCATCGCCGGACTCGATCGCTTCGACCCCGAAGACGTCTCCCGAGATGACCTCGTCGAGGATGGATATTTCGAAGTCGCCGATGTTGAACCTCCTAGAGTCCTCGGAGCAGTAGCAGCCACGCCCCCTGGGATCCCCAAGGAAGGACACGGGGGAGGAGTAGCCGTAGGGTTTCTCGGATACCTTCGTAGCATAGAAGAGGCTGCATGGGGATCTTCGAGAACTCTGCAAGGAACGCGATGGCGCTGCAGGAGCAACAGGGGGATCCGGAACCGCATCTTTCGGGGGGAGCTCCTCGGGATCTCTGGAGTCATCTTCCGAGAACAGCCGCTCTGGATTCCTTTTGGGCCCCCCCAATGGACAAGCGGGATCTGTTTTCCTCGGGCCCACAAGGGGGCGCTGTCCGCGGCGCCCGTCGGGGGCTCGCCAGAGCCCTCCTGCCCAGCCGCGTCCGCGAGCACAGTCTGGCCCTCATGGTCCCCGTCGATGATCGGGGACCTCTGTGGGGTCTGCTGCCACTAGGTAGGCGTCGTCATTTTGATCGCAACGTCGCCGCTCGGCATCTTCCGGCACTGGAAGATGTGGTTGGAGATCTCAGGCGTCATCAGGTAGCCGCTCCTACAGACGATTCGGGCGCCGGTGTGCTCAGGCCCCAGGATGTCCATCCCGATCAGTAGCGGCATGTGATTGTCCACGACGGAGATCTCGATATTCTCCTTGCCGTCGCCGAGAAAGATGTCCTGCCAAGGTGCCCATAGAGCTCTTGCGCCGGCCGTCCCCGAACGCGAAGTATCTCGTCGACTCAGCCAGGTTGAACTCCACGTCGTGCTTCTCCCTCATGTCGCATGCCAGGAAGTCAGCCATCGCGACCCCGATGAGGCTCCGTGTCGCCCCGCAGTCAAGGATCGCCCAGATGCCGCTCGCGTCGTCCAGGAGGAGCACCAGCTCGCCCAGCTCGAGGAGCGCGAACGATTTCGTCTCGGTCGGTTGGTGCTTGCCCTGTCCCTTCGTCCTCTCTGGGCAGTCCTTGGCCTGGTGCCCGAGCTGTCGGCAAGCGAGACACCACATCCGACGTCGGACCCGCGCAGCTCCAGGCCCCTGTCCACACTTGCCGTCACGCGGAGGGCGTGGCCGAGGAGGTCCTTCAGGAGGGCGCGGCGCCAGACCGGATAGTTGTCCCTCGCCACCTTCAGCTTCCTGACGAGGTCTCTGGCGTCCTTGAAAATCAAGCCCATCTGCTTGAACTCCGCGTAGGTCCCGTCCTCGGGCTCGTCGAGCACCTCGGAGTCCTCCAGCAGCAGCGCGTCCTCCGCGTCCGCTAGGCTCACGAGCTTGCCCACGATGTCCGCGTTCTCGGTCCGATCCTCTAGGTCGCCGTTGTCCTGGTCAGCCTCGCCGACAAGCCCGGCGCGCCGATCCTTCTTGTCGCGGACCCCGTCGAGCTCCTTCAGCGCCTCCAGCGGAAACCGAGTGCACAGGGCCTTGTACGTTTTGTCGAAATCGTAATCGCCGCCCGCCATCGCTGTGACATCGCCTCTTGCCACGGGCGTCAGCCGTGAACGGCGCAGGTACCACCACGTCCTCAGTGGCGCGGCAATGACCTCCTCCACCGAACCGTCCACCGCCTTCACCTGTGACAGGAGGTCGCGCTCGTGTGCTCCCCGTCGTGCCGTCCAGTCGGGGAATCCTTCTCCTGGCTCCCACTGAAGCTTGTTGAAGAACTTCTCGGCTGAGTTCCCCGTCTCATTCACGTTGGACAGGTCGATTTTCGACAAGAAAAACTCGAAGACGCGTGTCCGGCCCGTCAGCTTCCCCGCCTCCGTGACCTCGTCAATATTGTCGATGTCGGGACACGCTTGAACCAGTCGACGCGTCCTGGCCCCCAGAGTTCGCACCACCTGGGGTCCCACCACGTACCTGTCCTGGAGTTTGTAGCTCTTGCTGAAAGGCCCGACGCCGAACTTATATGCCAGCAGTTAGCCGGGCTCCCCGTCCAAGGACGGGACGCCCAAGCGGAGGCCTCCGGTCGCGCCAGCGGCTCCGCCTCCGGACGACATTGCCATCGTCGTCCGTGTTCTTCTCTCTGCTCCGCTACCAATCTGAATCCCAGGGCACTGCTAGCACTTCTTACTGTCGTCTCGATCACACAAAGATGATGAAGAAAGGAAAACCTTCTTCTCCTGCGATCGTCGGCGGCGCGTTGGCTGCGCCGTCTGAGGCGGAAATCCGTCTTGCTTGTAAAATCCCGCGCGCACACTGCCGAGCCCAAGCAGAGCGAACGGACTCTCGAGCGGACCCCACACAATCAAACCCGGGGCCCCAAGGTGGGCGAGTTCTGGAGAAATTGCAGCGCCAGGAACTCAGGCAACGTCGACGTCGTCGTCGACGTCGCCGTCGTCGCCGCCGTCGTCGTCGTCGTCGTCGTCGCCGTCGCCGTCGTCGTCGCCGTCGTCGTCGCTGTCGTCGTCGCCGTCGTCGTCGCCGTCGTCGTCGTCGCCGGCGACGTCGACGTCGACGTCGACGTCGTCGTCGTCGTCGTCGTCGTCGATCGATCGTCGGGGCCTCCCGGGAGGCGCGGCTCGTCGGGCGAGCGGGTCCGCGGCGCGCGCGCAGGGAGGGGGGCGGGGCCAGCCTCGAGGCTCCGCTGCGACGCGGGAGGAGGAGCGAGGAGCCAGGAGAAGGAGGAGGAGGAGCGAGGAGGAGGAGGTGCAAGGAGGGAGGAGGAGGAGGAGGAGGAGGAGGAGGAGGAGGAGGAGGAGGAGGAGGAGGAGCGAGGAGGAGGAGGAGGAGGAGCGATGAGGAGGTGCAAGGAGGGAGGAGGAGGAGGAGGAGGAGGAGGAGGAGGAGGAGGAGGTGGGAGGAGGGAGGAGGAGAAGGAGGAGGGAGGAGGAGCTGAAGGAGGAAGAGAGAGGAAGACGAGGGAGCAGGAGGGGGGGGAGGAGATTGAGGTCCAGGAAGGAGGGAATCATGAGAAGGAGCGAGCGTCTCCTGAGGAGTCCGAGGAACGACCTACTCAGGCCTGTATCGCTGCAAGGCGAGAGCGCGGAAGCGAGCAACAACTGGGACAGCTACGTGAACGTGAGGGGAAGTGTTGGTCTCCCGAAAAGCATGATAGATGTAGGAGACTGGAGAGAGTGAAAGAGAGGGGGGAGATCGAGCGAGCGAGCGAATCATATAGCCGATCGGTTGCTGACCCTGCAGCCCAGACACCATGCCAAGCCCCAAACGCAAGAGCACATCATCACTCAACGGGCGCTGACGATCAACATTTAGCTCTGGGAAACAATCATGCGTGAAATCGTCTTGAACCCTCTCACTACGATGAGATCGGGCGTGTCCTTCTACAGGGGAATGTTGGACGAAAAACAAAAAGATAGACAAAACATGCTCCAACATGGTCAAGCATAAACCAACCAACCGTTCCCAGACTTTTGAATACTCCTCCGGTAGAGGGACAGGCCCGAACGCTGCAATCGAGGAAAGAGAAGAGGAGGAGGACACAGACGAGCAGAGCGTGAGAGGCCCACTTGCGAGAACGGAGGGGAGGGAGTAGGACAAGGAGGGAGCCTTGCTGGCTCAGGGCTGGACATAAACGTGTTTGGTGGTTTCGTTGTCGTTGTGTGTTCGTTCTGCTCTGCCTGTCCTCCTGTACCTCCCTGGCAAGCCGATAAGCAAAACACTGCGGAAACTCAGCACCATAGTGTTTAGGTCCAGCCCGGTACTGCCTCAGGGGACATCTAAATCACAGGGATCTCAGGGTGCGAAGGTACAACGATCTGAGCGCGGATGCAACGATATGAGCGCGGATCCGAAGCTGAAGTAACCACCGAAATGCGCAGAACGCCCGATGGGCGCAACTATACCCTACTACGACTACTACTACTACGACGACTACTACTACTACTGCTACTACTATTCTTACTACTACTACTACTACTACGACTACAACTACTACTACTACTACTACTACTACTACTACTACTAGTACTACTACAACGTCTGCTTCGACTACTACTACTACTACTACTACTACTACTACTACTACTACTACTACCACCACCACCACTACCACTACTACTGCTACTACTACTACTACTACTACCACTACTACTACTACTATTATTACTACTACTACTACTGCTGCTGCTACTACCACAACTACTACTACTACTGCTGCTACTACTACTACTACTACTACTACTGATACTACTACTACTACTACTACTAATACTACTACTACTACTACGACTACTACTACTACTACTACTACTACTGTGTTACTTACTTACTTACTTACTGACTTACTTACTCACTTACTTACTTACTTACTTACTTACTACTACTACTACTACTACTACAGCTACAAGTACTGCGACGACTACTACTACTACTACTACTACTACTGCGGGTACTGCTAGTACTACTAGTAGTACTAGTACTACAACTACTACTACTACTACTACTACTACTCCTACTACTACTACTACCACTATTACTACGACTACTACTGCTACTACTACTACTACTACTACTACTACCACTATACTACTACTACTACTACTACTACTACTACTACTACGACTACGACTACTACTACTACTAATACTACCACAACTACTACTACTACGACTACTACTACTACTACTGTTTCTACTGCTACCGCTGCTACTGCTATTGCTACTGCTACTGCTACTGCTACTGCTACTACCACTACTGCGACTACTACTACAACTGCTACTACTACTGAAACTACTACAACTATTACTACGACTTCTACTACTACTACTACTACTACTACTACTACTACCACTACCACTACCACTACCACTACTACTACTACTACTACTACTACTATTACTACTACTACTACTACTACTACTACTACTACTACTACTGCGGGTACTACTAGTACTACCAGTAGTACTAGTACTACTACAACTACTACTACTACTACTACTACTACTCCTCCTCCTACTACTACTACTACTATTACTGCGACTACTACTAGTACTACTGCTACTACTACTACTACTAATACTACTACTACTACTACTACTACTACTACTACTACTACTACTACTACTACTACTACTACTACTACTACTACTACTACTACTACTACTACTACTACTACTACTACTACGACTACTACTACTACTACTACTACTACTACTACTACTACTACTACTACTACTACTACTACTACGACTACTAACTACTACCTACTACCACTACCACTACCCACTACCACTACCACCAC